ATAGCATGGGTGGGAATCTCCTTTTTAAGGCTGAATGATAGTCCATTGTGTATGCCACGTTTTGTTCACCCTTTCACCCGTTGATGGACTTTTAGGTGATTTCCCCCTTTGCTGTGATGACCCTGCTATGACTATTGGTGCACACATCTCTCTTTGAGACCCAGTTCTCTTGAGTATATACCTAGAGGTGGAATTATTGGATCATATGGTAGTTTGTGTTTAATTTTTTGAGGAAATAGCTGTACTGTTTTCCTCAGTGACTGTACCATTTACATGCTTATAAACAATGGATGAGGGTTCCACTATCTCCTCATTCCCTCCCTCACTTGTTTTCTTTTAATAATAGCCTTCAAAGTGGGTGTGAGTAGTGATTAATCACCTTGAACCGAGATCTCTCCTGTCGGAACCACCGCTGCACCTGCTTGATTTGTGTGTGACTGGTGTTGATGGCATTCCTAGGCCGGAATTCACACTGATGAGCCAGAAGCGCTTAGCGGCAGCGGGTTCCTTTATGTGTGCTATCAGGTTACCACGCTCTTTTCTTTCTTTTTTTCCCCAGTAAAGCACTGTGCCTAAATGGACTGTGGAAAAATGTCTCTGGGCTTACCATTTGTCCAAGATCTCTCTAGGAAACGTCCAGTATCAAGAGCCCCAAGTCACCCACCTGCACAGTGGTATTTAACTCAGAAAGCATTCTCGGGGCCCATAGGTGTGTCTAGTGGGCCAAACTGTGCAGTTAAATCAGCTCTTCCCAGATTCTTGGATGGTACAGGGCCAGAAGGGAGTATGGTTTCTCTCACTCTGAGTCCTTGGCCTTTCAGCCTACCCTTTGCTGGGTTTTGTTCTGTTTAAAGTAATGAGCCCGATTGAGAACCACAGTTAATATCAACATAGCAGCATCACAACTCACCTGTTTTTAAAAATTTTTATGAATTCTTGAGCCAAACATATGTTTCAGAGACAGAGCAAGTCACCTACGTTTGGCAAATGGCAAAAACTATGTTTAATTTCCATTTAGGTTACTTCCCTAAGTAAGATTAGCTCACGATAGGGATCAGTAGGCTGAGCATTCTCGGTTTTAAAGCCAGGTGGCATATGAATCATTCTTTGGCCAAGCCTGTGGTTTGTCTTTATGTGCTTAACACGATCTGGGCATTCCATGTAGCATCCGTCACTGTTGGGCAACGTAAGCATATCAAATAGAGGATTAAAGGAAAGCTATTTTGTGCTTAGAAAACAATTGGAGATTTCCTTTGTGTCTTTCGTGCTGCAGGATAGCTTCAGATTTTAAAATCCATCATTTGGTTGTATGAGCAAAGGTACCCAAAGTCTTTGAAAACAAGCCTCCCCATCTCAGAGTCTCTACTTGCTTAAGCAAAGGCTTATTTAAGGGCCACAGGTCCAGGACAAACCATGGAGGGGAAGGAATCTGCCATGACCTGTGGCTCCACCTGTTTCTACCTGCCTGCCAAGGTCAGGTAAATAGGTATTGAAAGCACACTGACCGGTGCCGTCTTATCCCCACCTCTCCCCTGCCCCACATAATAGGGTGAGATAAAGACCTCCTTTAGAATCCCAAATAAAAAGGATAAAAACTCCTGATTTTCAGACTGAGGAATGTCCATGCTGCCAGTGTCAGCCCAGAGCCTTCTCCTGCTTTACTGAGCCAGTCGTTTCCTCATTCCTCATCTACACTAGCCAGCCTTCTCAAATGTCTGCATTATCTCATCTTACAAAACATCCACCACCCAATTCAGTTTGGAAACTGAAGCCCAAGGTCAAGGCCAGCTATCAGTGATTTTAGAATCTCCTGCCCGTACCCTGTTTTCCGGACCCAGAAGGCCGCACCTAGCCGGAGTCTGTCCGTGCCCCGCAGTTCTTCCCTGCTTGCTGGGGTGGGGGCAGGAGGAGGGGCTGCTGGGCTTTCTCTCCTCAGAGTCCCTCAGGCATGGGCACCTTCTGGTTCTTCTTCCGTTGAAGATCATCTTTTCTGAAACGTTAGTCTTCAGAAGGTCTGTAGGGTCTTTATCCTTCAGAGAACACGCATGGATGGAAACACAAGCCCTCTTTCTCCATCACTTGTTGGGTGGATCCACTTACTTCTAGATATGCAGTTTCCATGGGAGGTGGGAGGAGACGGGGCTGCTGAGGCAGGCCGGGAGGAAGTAATTGAAGGATAGGTGGGGATTTTTGCTGCCCCTTCGAATTGTACTTTGCATGGAGGACCTAGTTCTTAGCATACCATTGGATATGAGATTTTTTTGAGACATGCAATAGAAATACTTCTAACTGGGCATTTATAATTGATAGGTAAATGGGGATACAAAGGACATATAGAAGAAACAAACTAAATTTCTAAAGGGATTCGATAACTATGAGCTTTCTTAAGTGTTCATTTGAATGTATGCAAACGTAGTTAAAAAGACCCAAATGCTTGCACCATTAAGCAGGGAACTAGAAGGCTTATTTTCTCTCTAAACACCATATCTGTAATAAATTATGATGAGGAAATAATGCTCCTGAGACCCTTTTCCTTTAGCAGTTTATCTTTCTAATCCCAGTGAGTGAAAGATGACTGCCGCAGAGAGCTAGCAGATGAGATTAATCTGGGCCATCACAGCACTGCCTTATTATCTATCCTTGGAGTGTGCTGACAGATGCTTTTAGCAGAAACTCAGTGGCGAGGCCACTGCTCTGAGGGCTTGTAGGAGTGAGGTGCACCATGGGCTGTGTGCGGGCGCTACCCAGGCAGCCAGGGAGCCATTTGTCCCTTCACAGTCACCTCCTCCTGCCCAAACTGTGCACCATGGGCAGGTTGTGGTGTGGAGTGGGGGGTGCATGCAGGCAGCCAAGGAGCCCCTCAGGACATCTCTGCCTCTAAAGCGGTGCCCTTCAAGAGGTCCACGGGCACCTTCCTGTGGCGGGTTCCCTCCTATGTCTGGCTCTGCCTGCTCCTGCCAAGTCTGCATGGTCCTTTAAAAAAAAAATGCAGAGATGGTTCCATAAAAGACCCAAATGCTTGAACTGTTAAGTGGGGAACCAGATGTAAATGTAACTTTCACAGTGACCTTATATTTTGACCACCTTAAAAGAAAACTTTAAAAAGAGACCAACCATCCCTTATCCTACTTCGCTGACATGGCCTAGCCACACCTTCCTCCTCTGGGCTGTATATACACACACATACTTCTATGTACATATATATACACACATGTATACATACACTTGTATAAATAAATATATAAAATATATAGTTCTTTTCATCATGTAGCCATCCTCCAGTCACCCGTGTGCAGAATCTTGGCATCACTTCTAATGTGTTTTTTGTCCCTGTTAATGGATATGATACAATGGGAGGAAAGGGTACTGTGGAGTCATGCACATTTTAGTATGATTCCCATCTCTACTACACAAGGCTGGCCTTACATAAGACCCTTCCTTGTCTGTTGTCTCCTCCCTCCATCTGTCCCCCAATCCCCTCTCCTGTCCACAAATACTGTGCATGCACCACATGTGAGATGCCAGGGATAAAGCATAGATACTGAAGCATGTTGAGCAGCATCATGAGGTTCAGTTGGGTAATGCTGTGGAAGGACCCATCAGAATGACACAGATAAACAGTGCCTGTGGTCAGCTGGCAAGTGCTGTCAGTTCTGCACTTTCTCTGGTATCTATTTCCATTTTTTTTAGCTCACTGAATGATGATAGCAATTAGTTTCATTGCCAGTCTCTCCAAGAGGCTCCTCATTGGGCCTTATGGCCCAAATGCACTCCATTAAATTCTTCCTGTCACCACCATTGGCTTTTCTAAAGCATTGCTTTTGTATGTGTTACTCTTGTTCAGACTTTTCAGTGGCTGCCAACGTTTATCAAAAAAAAATACTCGACTATCTTAGTGGCCACTCTAGGCCCTCTGAACAGTGTCTTTGTACTAGGCTTAGCATTAGATCTCCTCTCAGGATCTCAGCTCTTTAAACCTACCATCCTCTCCCGCCCACTGAAATGACTGACCATGACCACTTGGTCTTATCTGTGGACACACGGGCGGGGAGCTGCCGTGTCATGGGTGGGTGAAGTAAACAGCCGAGAAATCTTGGAAGTGTAGCCTGCCTTCTGCAGTGAAGGCTTAGGGTACTTATTGAAGATATATTGTTCTTTTTATCATGTTGCTATTCAAGAATAATAGGAGATTATGTCCTTGGAAGGACTAACTAGATCATTTATTTGTACTCTCCACATTATACCATCCATAACAATCTCTTGGGGGATTATTCATTTCTATAACTTAATTTCTATAATAATTCTTTTATTCGGGAGTATTTGTCACAATTGTTGGGCTTGGGAAATATTTGCTGTATAGGGGATTTGCAGGGACTCCCCCACCTGGTGACCCCGTCTGTCGTAAGTGGGCATATGCAAGAGGACCCGAGAGTGTCCCTGGACTTTTCTTCGCTTCAAATGACTGTTTTCTGTAGATGGACTTTGTGTTTTAATGAATTCTTTTAAGTGCAGAATTTTGTTAAGGAAGTTCTGCAGTCCGCATTTTAGGGACTCCCATATATTATTTATAATATTCTCTTTATATCCTATTTTTCCCCACAGGGTACAGTGTTTATAAACATTTATATGGGTGGGTGTGTTGGTATGGGACAGTGCAAACTACTTTAAATTTTGATTCCTGGCTCTCTTGGAAAACTATCTTACTGTCTCTAGCTCTCTCCCCATCAGCTTCAGAATACAGGAGCAAAGGTTAAGTTCTCCTTGGGGCCTGTGAGTGGTGGCCTTTTGTAGTTCTATTATCTGTAAGTCCAATCAATACCAAATGTTGCTGAGTCTCAAATGAAATGCCTTCTGAGTCTCGAGTGAAATGCTGATAATGAGATTGTGTCTGTAGTGAAATTAAATTGACTTCTAACAGCACATAGCCCTGTTTGGAAAACAAAGCTTGTACTATTAAATCCAGACCATTCTAACCTTAGTTTTCTTTTTTTCTCCACCAGTTTGCTGTTTTGTGGTTCACAAGAGGTGCCATGAATTTGTTACTTTTTCGTGTCCAGGTGCAGATAAGGGTCCTGACACTGATGTAAGTAATCTGGAAGCTATTTTTTGATGTTGATGCAAATTACTGAGTTTGATTTTTTTTCTTTTAATTACTGCACAACTGTTATTTTGGCAAATACTCTTAATGGGAATACCCATCGATTAGTCGTGTACAACTTTGCTGTGTACTAATGAACATACGTACAGTCCTTTTGAGCCCCGGCAGGACTAGTCAGAGGTTGGGAGAGACCTTCTTGCTAGCTTTCCTTACTAGCTTGTACTCTTCCACTCTGAGCAGCCATATGGACTAAATCCACCAAATTTGGAATAATGGCTTTCACAAACATCATGTGGTTCTTTTCTGAAGATGGTAACAAATTTTACAATGAACATAAACCCCTTTTGTTTCTAACGGTTTATTAACTCATGGGACCATCATTGCTTTTGGCCGGCATAACAAATTATTTCTAGGTTGCTTCTTGAGATCCTTGCTTCCTTTTCATTATGTATTATAAATGGAACTGTTGATTTAAAGAAGTTAGCATCTGTTTCACTGAACAAATGATCTCTGAAGCTGCCCATGCATGAACATGTAATTTCACTTGTGCCCTAATTCCGCCTGTCTCTATGGAGCCTCTCTCCGTGGTATCTCTTGTTTACTAAAAAACAAAACAAAACCGGGATCAGCAAAGGAGAATGGGAGTTAGGCATGGGAAATACCAATATCTAAAATATATTGAGTGGAAAAAAAACTGGGGCTGTTACATGGAAAGTAACATTTTAACTGAAGAAAAAGTTGTGGGAGAGGTCTGGAAGGGTAGACGATTCTCTTTTGAATTGCTTCACTGGAGCACGTTAGTCGCTTAATGTAGTTCGAGTGATTCCTACCCTTGCCTCTTGTTCCCATCAGGAAACTTTGACTTAAAGTGTCTTTCCCAGTGCAGGCAGGGCCGAATTCTCCCTTTTCTGAAGATGGTGTATTCACAGTGAGCTCTGAGGGATTCAGGTTTGCGTTGCTGAGCACCTGTAATGAAGGAACTTGGCATCACCGCTTGGTGTGTGGGAACACACTACATTTTGGGTAAGAGGCTGGTGGAGGCACATCGAGCCGCTGCCCCGGCTGTGCGCCACCATCCTGCAGAGACTCACATAGCCTGGGAACTGCAGGCATAATATTGTTTAGTCTTTGTGGACCAAGAAGCCCAAGTCCATGGATGCGGAGTGACTTGCCTACGTGCAAATAAACCAGATAGTGTCTTTCACTCCACCCTTTCCATACTCACTTCCTTTCTGGAATATTGTGTCCATTTGGAAGCATTTTAGGGATAAAGGCAGGTGCAGGTGAAGAGCACCAACTAGTAAAAGTTGGCCTGAAACATCATATGGTCCTTTGCCTCCTTCTGTGTTATCTTTCCTCACTTCTCTGTTCCTCCCATTGCAACCCCACCAAGAAGCAGGGCTGGGGCGGGGAGTGTGGGCAGCCCACAGGATGGTAAACAGTTTTTGTGTGGCCGCTTCCATTTCTTCATTCTTTTAGTTAAGCACCCTTTATTGCATACTTAACATGGGGGAAGATAGACATTAAAATCAGTCATTAAAGTAGGAAACAGGTGTTCTGAGCATTTTTACCCTAAGGAACCTATTCTGGGTGGTCGAAGTCTTCCTCACAGAATTGGGATTTGAACCAAGCTTCAAGAATAGGTGGGAAACTGTCAGAAGGGAACATGTGCACATATGTGTGCATGTGCATGCTCAGGCATAGAAGCCCTATAAAATACTGGTCCAGGTGAAAGGAGTGAGCAAGCACTGGTGTGGAAAGAGTTCAGTGTCTAAGAAACTGAGCCAGCAGGGTATCAGATGTTGCTCAAGGAGTTTGTTTGAACACAGTCTTAGGGACAGCAGGTCCTCAGGGAAAGGTTTTAAACCAGGAATGATGCAATCCTGTTTGCATCTTATCCTATTTGCACTTCCTTACAGGAAATGGAATGGGTAGGAAGTAGGCTTGCTATGGATGAATAAGGAGAACTATCTGAGGATGGAGAAGCAGCACAGAGGTGCTCACTCTCCAGAGCAAAGATAATGGGAGCTTGGACTAGGTGGAGGCAGTGGGGATGCAGAGAGAAAACTCACCCAGGATACAACTAGGAGCTGCAGCAGCAGTTCTTGGCTACTGGAGGGATCAGGGAGGTGGAGATGAGAAAAACTCGCAGGTTTCTGGCCCAAACACATGAAGGGATGGAGGCATTCTGAGCATAAGGACCTGGTGGGAGAACAGACTTGGGAGGATGAGGTAGGGCAGATCTAAGGGTTTCACTTTGGATATGTTCAGTTGGAGAAGCCTGGCCATAAGAAGACAGTTGTGTGAATGCAGGTGTGCAGGGAGAAGTGGGGTGTGTCCTGAAGACAGATTCCTCTTTTTTTTTTTTTAAGCCTTGGGAGTGGATCATCATGCCTGGAGAGAGGGGATAGAGAAGAAGAGAGAGTAGAGCCCAGGAGAGAGCTCTGAGGACCTTTAACTGATGGGATGGGAGAGGAAGGGCAGGGAAGGGGACCAAGGAGGAGCAACAGAGAAATTGGGAGACCAGGAGAGCGTGGTGCTGGTTTCACAGTTCCCTGAAGGGGCCATAGGTGAAGTCTCTGACCATGCCTGTGATTTTGTTATGAGTTCTCTGTAAGCTTTGATTAACATAGATGGGTAACACACATCCCTGTTTACACGGGGCAGTCTTGGCTTGTGCCTGCTACGGATCAGTGAATGCCTGTTCATTATTTTTAGCAGCCCCTTTCATGCTCAGGACTTGTATCCTGTTTAGATGATCATTATGTGGTCACCCTACTCATAGAGCCCTGAGCCGGGCAGAAAACATTAAGGAAGCTCTGCTGGGGTTGAAATATAACAGGAGGCACCCCTTATCTGATCAGCTGGGATCCGCTCCTGCTCTTCTGTGTGTTGTGTTGACTTCCTGTAGATGCTGAGCCTCACGCTTTAATATCCTTGAATGAGAAGTTGATAAGAGACTAATTATTTTTTTAATATGAGAGAAAAAGAAGTTGGTGAACTTCCTGTGTGTTCTCTTCCAAAGAGAAAACATACCTTTTGGTCTTTGGCTTTAAGAAACCAAAGATTATGGCTTTCAGTAGCCACGGCATGAGAAGTTTCTCCTGTGTGCAGGATAATTGTAGTTCCCGTACAAATCTGCAAGATACCCAGACTGAACTGCACCAGAGAGATACATGAAGGTATCAAGACAGAGCTGAACTGAGAAGGTAGGATTGTCTGGTTTTCAATAAATTTTAAGATCATAGAATTATAGGGCTGGAAGGGGCATTGAAGATTTACCCAGGCTAACCGTATTTTACAGACTAGACTGAGGCATATTGAAGGGCATACATAAGCTGGGGCACCTTAATATGTGTCCAGAAAGCCTGTGGTTGACTCTTTCTAGGACCCTGAAGGGGGAAAGAGAGCGGTCTGTGGCCTTGTTGTACTGTCAGTGGAGCACCTTGCTAGCTCCTGCCTGGTGGAATCATGAAAGTTCTGTTCAAATGCTTAGAAAAGTGCTGAAGGGCATAAGAAAGACCAGTTAAAAGGAAGGGGGGAGGATCCAGAAGCATGAAATATAAGAGAAAAAAGACTGCCTCAGTCATTCCCCCCGCCCCTGAAAATTTGAAGTTTTTAAATCACAATTTTTTTTCGCATCATGGTGAGCGCTTAAGATGCACAGCTGATATGCTGCTTAGGGCTGCCGCCTTCGAGTTCAGACTGCAAAGCTCTCACAGGTGGGGAAAGAAGTAACACACCTTGTGACATCCACAGATCCTGCTTCTGTTCTGCCAGCTTCAGGATGAAAGGAAAAGTACTGAAGAAATGAAATTGCAGCGCCCATATTACAGCAGCCAGAATTACAGTAGAGTTAATTCTTTTGCACAAAGGTCATCCTCACGACTCAAGGACCAGGCTAGCTAAAAGGCTGCCAAGGCATAGGGAACCTTGGAAGAGAAAGGGTTTCTGGGTTCAGTGGAAAGACCCCCTGAAAATCATCCAGCCGCTGTCTCAGCCTGCCCCACCTCCTCTGGAGGAGCAGTGTTCTATTGCCAGACATTCCCGACCAGCACATCTAGAGAGAAACGCTGAGCATGTCTGAGAAAGTAAGTGTATCCCTGTGCAAAGCAAATAGAGAACAGAGGAAAATGGAAGACTTTTAAGGAACCCAACCAGAACGGTTACCTCATTCCCTGACACTGCATGTATTTGGAGCGGGGACTCGCAGGCTGGAAATGGCTGCTGATAGCTGCCACACTCGGGGGCTCACAGAACAAGTAGCAAGCACCCTTCCCAGCCGGTGCTGGGAAGGCATTTAGAGTTGGTGTAGAAACTGCTTCTAGGTGTGTGGCCTCGGACTGCAGCTGGGCCGCAGTGCATCCACGATTCCATACGGCCAAAAAGAAATATTGCCAAACTGGTCGGTGATTAGAAATGGCTCTTCTCTCCCTGCCGCCTCTCCCAGGTAAGGCGTGAACTAGGACAGGGACAAGGAGAGAGTATTACCTTGTTTGGCTCTGGAGAGTGGGGGACTGTGGTGCCTGCCTTTTGGAAAGAGTCGAGGGTGCTGTTACTTCTTCAGCTGCCATTGATCACCCACCCTGACGGCTTTCTTTCCTGCTTTGGCCACAATGGGGTGAGGCGGGCCTGGTGATGGGTCTAGGGGGCTGACTTACCCCCTTCACCTTCTAGTTTCAGCTCACCAGCCTCTTGGTTCTTCTGTCTGAAAACCCTCCCTGTTCTTAGAACAACCTCTATCCATCTTAAATTATGTCTGTTCACAAAGCACCCCCCCCTGCTAGAGGGAAAACGGGGTGTTTAATGGGACTTCCAGTATATATACATGTGCATGTGTGTGTGTATTCACACATTAAATCGTTGCTTCCACACTTTTTCTCTGGGTGCCTTAAGTGAGAAAATTGTGAAGCAGCCCTTTCAGGGAATCATCACCAATCTCAGTCCTTCTGTAAATGTGCACAGACGCACCTTTGTAAACTTGG